TCAAATTTCTCAATTCCCAAAACTCCACAACAATGAGGCGAGGAAACCCAACCGAATCCAACTATAATCCTATTGATATCAGAATTAAACTCAAACAAATGGCCAAGATTATCAACAATGGCTTTACAAACAACAAAAAAAGCCCTACATGCGGTAGGGGAGTCGATGGTAAAGCGGCGGGATATTGTAGAGAAGGGGGTAGCGTAGGCTAAGCAGAAGAAGGTGGCGACGAGGGCAGCATTGGGTGGCAAAGGGTGGATGGAGGTCAAAGGAGTAAGAAGCTGAAGGAGGAGAGTGAATCTTCCGAATCTGTTTAATTTTCTTATGAACCCACCTGGGGTCATAATCTTCCATAATCAGGAGAGGACAAAAATCGGTGGTAGAGAATGGAAGTTGGTGAGTGAAATGGCGGTGGAAGAAAGAAGGGATTCCAGGGTGAGAGATTGAGAAGGGAGGAGATGGAGGTCATGGTGGTGGAGGAAAGAATGGCCAGGGATTCATACTTCTGGCTGGCGACGCCGTGAGTGGTTGTGGCGGGCGAAGTCGCCGACGATGGCTCCCGAAATGGTGGTCGTGAGAGGTTGTGGCGTGCGAAGATGGCGGGCAGTGTAGAGAGAGAATGGATGGAGGTTGTCGGTTGGAGGGAGCCGACGGGTTGTAGAGAGAGAGAATGGAGGGAGAGAATTAAGGTTTGTGATGTTGGGTGAAGTTAGATTAGTGTTTTAGACTGATTTGCATTTTTTATAAAAGTTTAGGAGCAGATTGCATTTTATTTTTTATTTTTCTTTTCTTTTCCTTTTTGTTTTATATAAATTGGAGGGTATATATGTCATTTTTACGTTAAAAATTAAGGAAAATGACATTTTGCGTAACACCATTTAGCCATGAAAATAAATTCACTTCGAAATTAGATTTGAAAATTCGGAGTTTTTTCTAAATCATCACCGATGACAATTTAAGGTGCGGACTAGGTTAGGACTTGGTTGAGTCATGAGTGGCAATGGTTGTGGTGGTAAGGTTTGACAGAGTGGTGGCAATTGCAATAGTAGTTGTGGTAGTGCGCAAAAATGTGGTAGTGCTAGGATTTGGTGGAAAAAGTGGTGTTCCGTGGTTTTAGAGATTGAACGTTCTTGTATTTTTTGTTTCTAAAGGTAAAATAAGTTTAAAATGTTTAATCAATAGAAAGCAATGTCTAAGGGTGTAACATTTTGGTAAGGACAATTTGGTACAAATAGTTTTATTCTAAGCCCAAACGCTGTCTAAACGGCTGAAGTGCGTAATCCGAAGTGCTGTATAAATGATGGAAGAAGTCGAAGCTCTTCACGAAGAGAACCTTCCTCAGAGACTCCTAATTCACCTGAAACTGAAGTTGTCTCTTACAAGATCCTTAGACAATCTTTAGAAATTATTGATGTAACGTTTGTAATAAAGAATATCAGGTGTGTCAGCCAATTTTATAGGGCGACTAACCAATTGTTAATGTATTTATTGTATGATAGACAATGATGTGAAGTCTCGATCAAGGAGATGATGCCATGTAGTTGTAGACATAATAATAATAATAATAATAATAATAATAATAATAATAATAATAATAATAATAATGGGTTGGGTCAATTTAAATAACTAGCCTAATTAAGTTTACTAAACTAAAGTTTACTAAGGCCCATAAAATTTTAAAAGTTCATCCCACTATTTCAAAATCCGCAATTATTCAATTATAATCATTATAATTGAATTAATTAAGTGATTACCAAAATTGGTTACGAATTTCTCCTGTAAATAGGACCAAAGGTCCATAAAGAAAGGGTGAGAAAATGTGAAGAAGAAAATCACGAAATGTTGAAAAAATCTCCAAATTGAAGGAAGAGAAGAAATCCTCTCAACTCCAAGTCCGGTGAACACGAAGAAGATCAAAATCTTTTTCGAATTAAATTAAGATCAAGCCCAAGTTTCGAAGTGAAAATCTAAACTCTAAAATTCAAGTGTTGAACAAGTCAAGTTTTCAACAAATCAAATTCTCAACAAGTTTCGAAGCCCAGTATTCAATCCACATGATTCATCATCTTCAAACATTCAGATCATTAATCAAATGATCTTGAAATTTTGCAATTACAAGAAGATTTATATCCATTTGTATTTCTCAAAATACAATTTATAACGATTTCTATATTTTAATATGGGAAATCCGTTGTACAGATCTTTTGGGACTCTTTAGAGGGATAAAAATATCAACTCTCAAAAAATAATTAGGATGTGGAGAATTAATTGAAAAATGAGGCGAAGAACACATCAAGATCAAATCCAAGAAGTTCAAGATTGAATTCAAAAAATTTCGGATGATGAACAACATTTATATCTTTTGCTTTATTTTTCACAACATGTAAGGCTAGATTTGTGTTAGGAGAACGATGTAATATGAGTTTTAAATTTTTAGTTTTATATATTTGACATTAAAAACAAGTTTTTGAATATTGAATGATTTATATGATTTTATTTTCTCCTCAATTATTGTGCACGGCAATTGTGTGAATGTGGTGACTTATTTTAGGAAAATATGTTCGGCATATATAAATTGTCATGAGTCCGATAGAGGATAGATATATATCTCTATGCCTTATCTGAATCATTAAGTGTTCATAAAAAATTATGCACTTTCATATGTTCGCGTTCATCATAGAAATATAATTGAGTCATATATAAAAGTAGGTTTAATATTATTCGAGAGAGATTGTTAAATAAAATAGGAACATTGATTCGTCAAAATTCAATCGTGTTGTCAACGTGTAAAACAAGAGTTAAAACTGATTATTGCACAAGAATTTTGGATCCTAGTATGTTTGTCATTTATTAAACACATTAATTTGCATTTACCATAATTTGCATTTAGTTTACTAATTCACTCATAATTGTATAAGTAGATTAATTTAGATATAATTTAGTCACAAATACATAATATTATTCTAACTTCGGTTAATGTCGCGATAATTAAAATTGAACTAATCAATCTTCGTGGGACGATCCTCAAACTCAAAAAGTCAACTTTATTACTTGGTAACGAACCGTACACTTACAGTAATTTTAATTCGAAATATATTTGCGTGAACACATCCTGTAGTGTACTAAAAATTTGATTTTGTCATGTAAATGTGGAAATGAAAAAAACTTTTTATTCTCAATTTAAATAATAATAATAGGCAATCATAACTCTTCCAATATATATATATATATATNTTCTGTATTTTAATACGTGAAATCCGTCGTACAGTAGTTTTGATCCAACAGACACTACGTCGATCAAATCACTATAAATAGGCTCTCCTTGTAACTAGAGAAGGATTGGATTCTTGGACTTTAGACTCTTGAACCCTTGGTCCTTGATAATAAAAACAATTTTGCAAATTTCTATACATATTATCTAGTTCTTCTCCATATACGTTATTTGATCTGTTTATGGGTTTACTTTGGTATTCGATCAATGATTGTTGTTAGCGCAATCATCTTCGTTCCACCCACAGGTGCTTGAACACTTTTATCTCACGCCGTGAAGCATCTCTTGCGTTCACATTCATCCTGTTCCTTACCGCACTTTGGTCAAAACGCGCCGAAATTTGTTTGAATTGGCGTGAGTGGGCCGGCATCTGTAATCCACGTAAACGTCATGTTTTTCGGGGTCAACAAACCTATGTCAAATCCACTTGTGTGCGTGCAAGACAAGGCATGCTCTACTAACTGAGCTTTAAAAAAAATTCAAAAATTCAAAAAAAAAAAAAATAATAAAAAAGAAAAAAAGAAAATGAGAGAAGATATGGCTAGACAACCATCCGCCATGCAGGAGCTAGGCTCCCTTCAATACTCCTAAGTTTGTCGATTATCTAAAGAATAAAAACACGTGTTTGTCATTTATTATTAATTAGAAATTCAATCTGTACAAATTGTTTAGAATATTGGACATGCACAAGTTAAAAATATTCAACAATTTCAGGAACCATAGATCTTTGCATGTAAACAACATAAGCAATTAGAGCCGCCAGTGTTGCAAGAGTCACAACCACCTCGCCAAGCGTTTGTAATCGAAATTCAGACACTTCTGGTGTATCCTCAGCAGATTTTGCATCTTCAAATGTTTCTAGTTTACTGCTATCAATTCCATTTTGAATTTGTTTTTTGGTCTGATCTTCATGAGTAGATTCTGCTGCTTCATTCTTTTCAGAGATTAAAAGTTTTTTTGGCATTGCAATGTAGAGACAGCCATTGACAAATTTTGCACTAATTGCATTTTCATCTATGTTTCTTGGAATTGGAACTTCCTTGTAGAATCTGCTTTTTCTTAGAGCATCTAATGGATGTTCTCCTGAGATCTTGAGGATCCGTGAATTGCTGATTTGTGCTTTGAGTTGTTCCTTCTTGAATTCTTGAATAATAGAGGGAATCAAGGAAATTAAATTATGGGCTTCGTTAATAAATTTATAACAATATTGTATATATACTAATGTCAATATAAAAAATCTGGCATATTAAATCGACCTATGTGTTGATTATTATCGACTAGGATCTTTAGAGTAAAAGGATTTTGTTAACTAGATTAATTTTTCTTGCATTTATATCATTTCTTGAAATACATTGTAACCTATTAGTAGCATACATATGTATATATGGTGTCTGATATTCGAATTAGAGCTATCTATTTGAAATGCCAAAAGGAAAGTAGAGACCAGACACGAGTAGTGAAAAATGAGGAACAAACATGGGGTCAAGAATTTAAATCATATTATTAATCGATTCAAGAAATATTTAAGGACATATTAAATCTTATTCAGTATAGCGTACATGTTGTAAAAGATTGGAAAAACAGGAAAATGAAAGGCAAAATGCAATACCTTGGAGATGGATTTCAAGAATGTCACGATCTTCCTTACGTTGCCATTTACATAAAGGATCAAATTCTTCAATAAGTGTTTTGGCTTCCATACCTTGAACTTGGTTGCTATCGAAAACTTTTAGGGGTAATTTGATAAAGAAATGTTTCTCCTCAAGTTATTTATATGGGCAATAAATGATTTGAGGAAACCTTATAGGATGTCCAAAGAGGTTCCTTTTTGGTTTCCTCCTTACAAAGAAAATGGATGCTTCTTGGTTTTCAAGGATTAAGACTTTAGGTTTGCTTGATTCCAGTGGATAATGTGTGGTTTTCCTATTGGCATGGAAAATATGCAAGTACATTTTTGAACGTTACCCACTATTCTTTATTAATTTGGCCAAGGAATTTGTTTGCCCTCGTGTGTAATTTTGAATTTTAAATTGATTTAACACATGGTGTTAGTGATTAGGGTCTATTTGAGCCAAACAAGAAGTCAAAAAATATATATATGACCCATCTCAAATTTATCGAAAATAAGACTGAGTCCTTGTTGATTTTGATAAAAAGTGATGAAATATCTGGCCGAAAAGTTAAGACTAGACTTTTGAAGAGGTGCTTTTTACTCATCAATCTAGGAAGGCCTTTGTGGCCATTGCAACAAGAAAGTCTCTGTGATTCCCCGGAACACTTTCATATATGGCACTTTTCAATGTTCAGCTCGGCCTCGCTCACCATAACACGTATTAAAGCTCCCTAATCCGTTGTTCTGCCCTTCAAGCATGTATACAATGTCTACCAAAAGAGACATGACAAATAATTTATACTCAAAATTTTATTACAGTAGATAGATAAGAGACGAAGTTTCTTAAAAGGTTAATAACCTTACTTTTTTAATTTTAGTTTTAAAAGGCTTTGTCACTGTATAAAACGTTGTAAATAACTTCATTGTCAATGATAATGTTCTTTTATATTTTCACTCTTTACTTAATTGTACAAAATCAACACCTATTAAAATCATATCGATCTCAAGTTGGATCAATTGGAGCCTATTGGCCGAGTCAAATGGAGATCACGACACAATGAATGATTCAATTAATGCGACCATTTAATATTATGTTAAAGCAAGACACTCTTTCACTTAGTCTTACCCAACGGGGCCTAAAAAAGGAACATATAATGGAAGAAAGGACAGCTAAACCCTTCATCTATAGTGAAAATACGTGAACAGAGTGGCAGAGCATCTCAATCGGTAACCCTTCTAAATAATACTTTGCCAAAACGAAATTGACTAGACTCCCATAATTTTGAAAGAGAAAATATTCATTTGATTTATGTTTGGTTTGTTGTCAGACGGCTTTTAATGGGCAATGATGTCATTTAGTGGACTTCAAAGGCTTTGGCCCGTAATTGAAGCGATGTTTCAAACCCAAGTGATTCCAACTATATTGGTTCATTGACCCGGCCTAAAATGGAGAGTTGGCTATTTTAGAGGTGTAAACATATTTTAGTGTGTTGCTCAAATATCTAGATAGGTGAATCTTGACCCTTGGATCAACTTTTGATCAATGGTTTGGGTTCCTCATATAAATAAGTGGAAACCCTAGCCTAACATCCATTAACTCTCTCATTTCTCTCGTGCTCTCTTTGAAAACGCTCTCTCGACGGCTCCTTTTGTGTTATCTACGTGAAATATCCCGTGTTCTTCACTTCATTCTTTGTGAATAAGTCTCTTGATTTTTTTGTGGTTTCAAGGGTCATGCTTCCGCTTATTGCCAAACAATATTTACACTAAATTAAATCGAGAATCGCTCGAATTTGCAAGTGTAATCCAAATTTATAAGAACAAATAAGCATGTAAAACACTCTTATTACTTCCTTCAACGTCAAATGATGAAAGACAACTAGAAGAAGATTTTTTTGAGCAAGGAAGTGCATATGTGTGGAAAATGATGATGATGATGAAGTTACAAAAGGGCTGCCAATTCGAAATCTTGTAACCCCGACTATCAAAAATAAAAGGTGACGGCTCAATTCCATAATTTCAGTAAGTTAAAGACCTTGGTCACAATTTTCCCGAAAAAATAAATAAAATATTTCTAACTTTCGTAGATATTGCTACGTCACAGTTCATTTTATCCATTCGCTGAGGCGACAAAAGTCTAAAAATTAATAAAAGATTATAAAAATGCCTAGGATTTCTCAAGGGCTTAAACAAAAAAAAAAAACTATCCGTATGGCTGAAGTCTCAAGGAATGAAGTGGCAGGAAACAAGAAGAAATAGCAGATACGTATAATAGGGCCATAAAATTACAACTGTTACACCAGAAACAAATAATCACATTAAAAAACTTCACATATATAACAGTAGAATGGCTTGCTTGTGGGCTCAAATCACAAAGATCAGACGAAACTACAATATTGCCTATGTACATATGGATTCATTCTTCTAATTTTTTGACGTAGCTTGTGTAGATAATGAGGATATGGAAATTAATCCTATGCGAATCCAGAAACACTGAGAACATGAAAGTGCAGATGGAAGGTTCCACAACAACCACTTTGATTTTCTAGATCACTGGTAGCCGCCGGGGAATCCCCTTGGTTGAAAATACAGAGTTTCAAAATTAACCAAGCAAGACCAGAAACCCCCATGAGTATTATGAGGAAGACAAGCACAGCCACCGGGTTCAGTGGAATATCCATGATGAAGGGTTTTAGAATACAAGTTTGAAAGATCAGACACATGTATATTACGAATATATAGAGACTAGAGTTTTTGGAAGAGTGAGGCCACCTTTTTCCATTTCTACATTTAAAAAATATATAGATAGGACCCAAGTTGGCGACCAATATTTATTTATACATTCTGGTATACGCTTGGACATACATTAATTGTAAACTAATTATCCCTGGCCAGGCAATTGGTATTCTGCAACACATCTTTCTTGAAGTTCCAGCCCTTCCAGGAACTTTCCTTGACGTTGAAGATAAAGTCGTTAATCTTTAATTTGTTGGATATTTAAATTGACGGTGTATTTTATTTTGAAGTCATACCTCATGTTGAGAAGAAAAAATGTACGTATAATAACATTTGGTGAGAATTTTATGCAGGGTTGTACCTGTGTTTCGTGGGCTTGAGGCAAACTTCAAAGGGAAAAGTTTATGTCTCAGGTGTTTAGTTTGCCATTTTAAAAAATCAGGTGCTAAACTTTAAAATTGTAAAAATCA